TTTTTAAAAGGAATCTCGCAGCTTTTGATATATCGTTTTTCATTGTTGCAGTTCTAGATATATTACAATTTCCACTGTAATTGTTTTATTCTCCTATCATGAATTATTTAGAAATGTGTTTTTTAAAATTCCAGAGTAGTGCATTTTGTTTTATTCTTTAACAAACAAACAAACAAAAAACTTACCTTTTTGTTATTGATTTCTGACTTCATCATATTGTGGTCATAGGATGTGTTCTGTATGATGTCGATTTTTTGGTATTGGTTGATACTTTAGTGGCATAGTATGTCAATTTTTATAATGTTCCATGTGTACTTGAACATATTTTCTAATATTTATATATTAATGTTTGTTAGTTATGTCATTGAATCTTTTATATGTTGCTAATGTCTTTTTATTTTTGTTTCATCTATCATCTGTTTTTTGGAGAAAAGTATCTTAAAATGTCCAGTATATTTGTAGATTTTACAGTCTTCCCTTGTATTTCTGGCTTAAATATTTTGATGTTGTTAGAGTCATATAAGTACCAGGTTATTTCGTCCCTGGCAAATTGTTTATCGTCAAGAAATGACACCTGTATTCCTAATAATCCTTTATCTCTTGAAATCTATCCTGTCAGATTTTAATATCACTGTATCAGTTTTCCATTTTGCCCTACACTGAGAGGCAGCAGAGAGCAATGTTAAGAGCATGGACTCTGAAGTCAGGCTGCTGGGGTTCAAATCCCAGCACTGACACCTTCTAGCTGTGTGACCTCAAGCAGGTTTTAACCTCAGTGTTCCCATGTATAAAATGGGTGCAGTTACTACCTACCTCAAAGGATTATTATGAGGATTAAACTAATTACTATTTTTTAACCTAATTACTATTTTTAAAGCACTTTGAACATCATAGTAAGGACTCCATGTGTATTTGTAAAATTAAATAATTAAACATATATATGTGCAGCCCTTTTCTGTGTCACTATTTTATAGGTATTTGTCTGACAAACACCATATAGCTGCTAGATACCATAATGCTGCAGTAGATACCTTTATTACATAAGTCATATCCCATATGTCTGAGTGTATCTGTAGAATAACTCCTAGAAATGGGATTGCTGGGTGGAAAGATATGTGCATTTGTGATTTCGCTAGATAATGCCAAATTGCCTTACATAGGAGTCTGGTGCAACCCCAGTGGAAGGCAGTTTGGCACATCTAGTGAAATTGATCTTTGCCAGGCTGTTAAGTGAAAAACGGTATTTCAGTATAGATGTAATTTGCATTTCTCTTATTTTAAGTGAGGTTGAGCATATTTGAATGCTCTTTGTATTTCCTTTTCTGTGAATGTTCCTTTACCCATTTTCAATTCGGTGGTTGATCTTTTCTGGATCTATTTGTTAAAGTTTTTTAGATATTGGGAAATCAGTCCTTGTTCTATGATATAAGGTGATTTTTTTTTCTAAGCACTTCCTCTCAGGAATCAAGAAAAACAATGAGAAAGAACAACTTGAATCATTATCTCAAAATATTTTTGCCGGGGCTTCCCTGGTGGCGCAGTGGTTGAGAGTCCGCCTGCCAATGTAGGGGACACGGGTTCATGCCCCGGTCCAGGAAGATCCCACATGCCGCGGAGCGGCTGGGCCCGTGAGCCATGGCCGCTGAGCCTGCACGTCCGGAGCCTGTGCTCCGCAAAGGGAGAGGTCACAACAGTGAGAGGCCCAAAAAAAAAAAAAAAAAAAATTTGCCGAGTGGTAAATGCTACCTTTTTCTGTTCACAGACTTTGTGCTAAACACATCTTTAATCTTTAAAACCTCACTTCCTGGTAGATATTATCTTCACTTTACAAATGAAAAAACTGAAGATCAGAGAGATTCTTTTTTTTTTCACTCATTCAACAAATATTCATTAAGAACCTACTAAATTCATGGGGCTTCCCTGGTGGCGCAATGGTTAAGAATCTGCCTGCCAATGCAGGGGACACGGGTTCGAGCCCTGGTCTGAGAAGATCCCACATGTCGCGGAGCAACTAAGCCCATGCACCACGACTACTGAGCCTGTGCTCTAGAGCCCGTGAGCCACAACTACTGAGTCCGTGTGCCACAACTACTGAAGCCCGTGCACCTAGAGCCCATGCTCCGCAACAAGAGAAGCCACTGCAATGAGAAGCCTGTGCACCGCAGCAAAGAGTAGCCCCTGCTCGCTGCAGCTAGAGATATCCCGTGTGCAGCAAAGAAGACCCAATGCAGCCAAAAATAACATAAATTAATTTTTTTAAAAATTTAATAAAAGAACCTACTAAATTCTTAGGGGACATAGCAGTGAGTAAAACAGAAAAGGTCCTTGTTCTATGGACTTACATTCTAGGGCGGAAATATAGACCACAAACAAGAAAACAAATTAGATAGTTTCTGATAGTGGTAAGTGCTGTGAAGAAAATAAACCGAAATGGTGTAACTGGCAAGGAATGGGGGCGCTACTGTTAGGTTGGGTGGTCTCAGAAGTCCTAGCTGGAAAAAAAATGAGATTTGATCTGATGCCTAAAAGGAAAGAGAAGATCTGGGAAATGGAACTGTTAGTGCAAAGGCCCTAAAGCAGGAACGACCTAGGCTTGTTCAAGACTCAGAGAGGTTTGGTCTGAGGAGCAAACTGGGAAAGCCGCTCGGAGTTTTTGAAAAGGAGGGTAATATGATGTGATTTTGTCAGTGAGGATAAGGTAGGTTCTGGTTTTAGGCCCTTTTCCATTTTTTAAAATGGAGAATGCCAGGGCTTCCCTGGTGGCTCAGTGGTTGAGAGTCCGCCTGCCGATGCAGGGGACATGGGTTTGTGCCCCAGTCCGGGAAGATCCCATATGCCGTGGAGCGGCTGGGTCCGTGAGCCATGGCCACTGAGCCTGTGCATCCGGAGCCTGTGCTCCGCAATGGGAGAAGCCACGACAGTGAGAGGCCCGCGTACAGAAAAAAAAAAAAAAAAATGGACAATGCCAAACAGCTTTTTTGCTTATGTGTGTATTTGTTATTTATTGCTGTGTTACAAATCACCCCAAAATTTAATGACTTAAAACAACACTAATCATTTATTTTCTCTGGGTTTCTATGGGCCTGCAATTTGGGAGCAGCTTGGCTGGGATTTTATGACTTGGGATCTCTTGTGAGGTTGCAGTCATCTGAAAGCTAGACTAAGGCTGAAGGATCTGCTTGCCAGATGGCTCAATCACAGGATGGGTAAGCTGGGGCCGGCTATTAGCAGGAAGCCTCCATTCCTCTCCATGCGAGCCTCTCCACAGGCATACTTGAATGTCCTCATGTCATGGCTGCTGGCTTCCCCCATATCAGGTGATCTAAGAAACAGCACTACAGATATTGAAATATCTTTTATGACCTAGCCTCAGAAGCCACACATTATTATTTCCTCAATACTCTGTTGGTACATAGCCCTGTCAGGTGTGGGCATGCTATCAGGAGTCGAGGATAGTCAATGCAGGCCATTTTGGAGACCGGCTACCACAGTGTGGGTATCTTTAAATTTATACTAATAAATATATTTTATGTATTTGTGTGTATATATATTCTTATAAAATCATATTTGATATTTACCATCTTAGGAATTAAACCAAAATTTTAAAATACTAGTTTGTTCATTTAAAAATAAGCCCTCTGAGATAGAATAGGGAGGGTGGGAGGGAGGCTCAAGAGGGAGGGGATATACATATAGCTGATTCACTTTGTTGTACAGCAGAAACTAACACAACATTGTAAAGCAATTATACTCCAATAAAGATGTGAAAAAAAATTTTTTTTAAATAGATGGGGCTTCCCTGGTGGTGTAGTGGTTGAGAGCCTGCCTGCCGATGCAGGGGACACGGGTTCGTGCCCCAGTCCGGGAAGATCCCACATGCCACAGAGCGGCTGGGCCCGTGAGCCATGGCCGTTGAGCCTGTGCATCCGGAGCCTGTGCTCCGCAACGGGAGAGGCCACAAAAAGGGCCGTGGTAAACAAAAAAAAAAAAAAAAAAAAAAAAAAAAGGGACTTACCTGGTGGCACAGTCGTTAAGAATCTGCCTGCCAATGCAGTGGACACGGGTTGGAGCCCTGGTCCAGGAAGATCCCACATGCCACGGAGTTACTAAGCCCATGTGCCACAACTATTGAGCCTGCACTCCAGAGCCCTCGAGCCACAACCACTGATCCTGTGTGCCACAGCTACTGAAGCCTGCGCGCCTAGAGCCCGTGCTCCGCAACAAGAGAAGCCACTGCAATGAGAAGCCCGCGCGCAGCAACGAAGACCCAATGCAGCTAAAAATAAATAAATAAATAAATAATTTGTTAAATAAATAAAAATAAGCCCTCTGTGTGTTAACATAGATGATGCATTTTTAATGGAAATAGAATTAGAAGAATGGCATTATTGTACATTTCTGCAAATCTCTTTAATACCTGATTTAACAGAAGAGTGTTGGATTCTCATTTTTGCCTCTGCATACTCCACTGAACATTCATGAGAGAAAGAGAGCAAAAATGGGTAATGAGCATTTGGTGCCCTGAGAGTGAAGCTACAGGAGTGGACCTTTCTTGGGATAACCAAACTTACGCCAAGAGAACAGGCTGGAGACAGGTTCTGTGGTTTTCTTGGTCACCCATTTATGGAATTTCAGAAGGGCAGTGGAGATTACTGCCAGGCACAGCATGACCTCTGTGCAGACAAGTGAACTGTAGAAATTCATTACTACTCCACCAAGAAGCCCCCGTAAAAGTGGTTAATTTGGACACGGAAGCATGGAACTGAAATCCTCAGAGCATTGTACCTCCTTTCTACTGCCTCAGTATTACTGGATTGAAGAATTGCTGCTTTTTGTTAGGAGGTTCATTTCCTTTCCCATTACTCCCAATTTCATACCCAAAAGCACTGAGAATTTCAAGTGGAGTATATTGAAGTCGACTCAGTTTCTTTGCATCATTTCTGTATTCAATTTTTAAAATTCTTTCATAACCCTATTGAGTGTTTTTTAACTAAATTAGCATGGCTCAAATGATCCGTGCAGCTCCTGTGGAAGTCACTTACAAGAACATGAGATTTCTTATTACACACAATCCAACAAATGTGACCTTAAACAAATTTATAGAGGACCTTAAGAAGTATGGAGTTACCACAATAGTAAGACTATGTGAAGCAACTTATGACACTACTCTCACAGAGAAGGAAAGCATCCATGTTCTCGACTGGCCTTTTGATGATGGCACACCACCATCTAACCAGATTGTTGATGATTGGTTAAGTCTTGTGAAAATTAAGTTCCGTGAAGACCCCGGTTGTTGTATTGCCATTCATTGCGTTGCAGGCCGTGGGAGAGCTCCAGTGCTTGTCGCCCTAGCATTAATTGAAGGTGGAATGAAATATGAAGATGCAGTGCAGTTCATAAGACAAAAGCAGCTTGGAGCTTTTAACAGCAAGCAACTTTTGTATTTGGAGAAATATCGTCCTAAAATGTGGCTGTGCTTCAAAGACTCCAGTGGTCATAGAAACAACTGTTGCCTTCAGTAAAACTGGGGTGCCTGATGCCATTGCTTGGAAGTGGAAACTAGACTGGATGGAATTTGTCATACGTGTTAGCCAGCACGTTGGCTTGGTGAAGTCTGATGAAGCTTCCATAGGAGTGTTGAAAAGCAGTTTTACCAGGCCAGAAACCTGGCAGAATTGCAACCTCTATGTTTGGGTTATGATCAACCTACTTGGACACTTAGCAAAGGATTCTTGCTGTTCAGCATTTAAAATGTGCTTATCATTTGTACCAATTGACCTTTCCTGAAATCATACAGTATTGAGTCATGTCTTTAAATCTGTTTCCATGCCAGAATCTTATCAATATATAAGAAATTTAGGAAGACTAGGTGCCAAAATACCCAGGACAATACTTGTATATACATTTTTTGTATCATATAGGACTAAAATCCCAGGAACTATGAACACTCTGGACCTTGTGTGGTTTATTCCTTCCATCATTTCAAACATAGAAAGTAGGGCCTGTAAGCTTCTTTGCTCACAATTCCCACATTCATACCAGTATACATCAGATTTGCTCCTTTTTTTTTTTTTAATTAACCAAGTCTTACAGTGATTATCTAATGTCTTTCTGTAAATCCCATTTTGTGCTGTTATAGAAGACCTCCATTTTGAAAATCTACATTGTACGGAAGCACATGTTTTTAATGTCTCCAGACAAAAAAGCCTTAATTTTAATGTTTGCACTTTGGGGTGCAACTTACATGGGGGGCCTGATGAAAGAATGGGAGGAGGCTATTAAGTACTTTTAGTAAAATGTTGCCTTTGTCTTGTGCAGGACATATAGAACATGCCCTTTAACTTAGTAAATATTTTTTAAAAGGTAGAAATACTTTGTTATTGTAGCTAAAACAATTCTTAATCATAAAATTTCTGAAATTCTTGTAATTATTTTTCAAACTTATCTGAAGTTGTTTACCAACCTAATTTTGTTTGAAGTGTGATTCCCAACCTCTCTTGCAAAAAAAAAAATAAAAAACAGAAGTGGGTTTACATTTAATACTTTATATGCCTTTTGAGCTGTGTAACTTAATATTTGGATACTTGACAATTTGTTTTATTATGTAATTGATAATATGTTGATGTGTATTAACGTTAGCTCAACCATATATTTATACTGTCCAGGAACATGTGCTTATAGTTCTGTGGGAGACATAATTTGTCAGTGTTCACCAGCTTGTAAAAATCTAGTGCGAGGGGGCTTCCCTGGTGGCACAGTGGTTGAGAATCTGCCTGCTAATGCAGGGGACACGGGTTCGAGCCCTGGTCCAGGAAGATCCCACATGCCGCAGAGCAGCTAGGCCTGTGAGCCACAACTACTAAGCCTGCGTGTCTGGAGCCTGTGCTCCGCAAAAAGAGAGGCCGCGATAGTGAGAGGCCCGCGCACCACGATGAAGAGCGGCCCCCGCTTGCCACAACTAGAGAAAGCCCTCACACAGAAATGAAGATCCAACACAGCAAAAATAAATTAATTAATTAAAAAATCTAGTGCGAGGGCTTAAACCTTAAATAAATGATGAAATGCATTTATCGTCATTGAAAAAAAATGGGTAATGATGTTAATATCACTGTAAAAAGTTTCAACCTCATGGAACCTTCTGAAAGGGCTGAACCACACTTTGACAATCTTGAGCTAGATTCTGATATGGTAACAAATGATGCCCAAATCTCAGTAGGTTACAACAACAAAGGTTTATTTTTTTTTAAGGTGAATGGCTTTTTTTTTTAATTAATTTTATTTCTGGCTACGTTGAGTCTTCGTTGCTGTGTGCAGGCTTTTCTCTAGTTGCGGCGAGCGGGGGCTACTCTTAGTTGTGGTGCGCGGGCTTCTCATTGCAGTGGCTTCTCTTGTGGAGCACAGGCTCTAGGAGCGTGGACTTCAGTAGTTTTGGCTCACGGGCTCAGTAGTTGTGGCTTGCGGCTCTAGAGCACAGGCTCAGTAGTTGTGGCGCATGGGCTTAATTGCTCCATGGCATGTGGGATCTTCCCGGACTAGGGCTGGAACCCGTGTCCCCTGCGTTGGCAGGTGGATTCTTAACCACTGCGCCACCAGGGAAGCCCTGTTTCTTAATCATCCTACATGTCCATTATGGCTTGCCCATGGTTCTGTTCCAGGTACTCTTCACCAAAGAACCCATGGTGACAGGGCACCCTTCGGCTGGACATCACTAGATAGGGGAAGAGAGAACTTGGTAAACCAGCCTGCCTTTTAAAACTTACTCTTGGAAATGATGTGTCACTTTTTTCCTTGTTTCATAGCCAAAGCAAGTCACATGGCCAAGCTGGATTCTTCAGAGCTGAGATGTATACTCTTCTGCAGGGAGAGGCCCCATGGGAAGGGATACCAAGTATATGTGGTATATAAACTTCTACCATGGTGCTTAAAGAATATCACTGGTTTCTCATAGGGAATGGATTATACTGGGAAGAGGTAGGAAGCTATTCAAGAGGAGAAGTATGTTAGGAATTGACTGCAGTGCTTTAGGCAAGAAATAACAGTGGGTTGGACTACAGTGGTGGCAGTGGTCCGATTCAAGGTGTACTTTGGAACTGGTAGAATTTGTTCTGGGAGTGGGTGGGGATAAGGGAAAGTACTGAAAGACAACTTATAGGTTTGAACAACTGAGTGGATGATGTGACATTTACTGAGATGGGATAGGCTGAGAAAAGGATAGGTGAGGTTTTTTTTGGGGGGGTGGAACAAATGTTAAACATCTTAAGCCTGAGATGCCTATTTTACACCTAAATGGAAATGTCTAGTAGGTACTTGAATATATGTCTGGAGATCTGGGGAGATGTCAGAACTTGGGCGTTAGCATAGAGCTGAATTCTAAGGCCATGAAGTTGGAAGAGATCTCCTTGGGAGAAAGTGTTAACAGGGAAGAGAAGAGGGCTGAGGGTTAAGGGCTAAAGCCTTGGCCTACGCCAGCATTTTTAAATGGAAGTGGCTTTGGATCCAGCAAAGGAGGTTGAGGAGGAGCCATTGAGGTCAGATGAAAATGGGTAGAAATGGAAGCAAAAAGAAGAAAGTTGTTTCAAGAAGGAGGGAGGCGGCTCTTTCAATGTTCTGTAAGTCAGATAGGATTGGGGAAAATGCAAGTCACAGTTGATAAGTGGAGGGGTGAGGATCAAACTCTAATTGGGTGAGTTGAAGAAAAGATGGGAAGTGAGGAATGGAGACACCACTTTTGAGATTTTTTTTTGGGGGGGGAGGTTGCATAAGTGGAAAAAGGGAGACAAAAGATGTGAAGATGAAATTGTGTGTACGTGAAATCTTTATGTAAACTATAAGCTTTAGGCTTATTTTGTTGTTTATTATTGAACTCCTAGGAATTTCAAACTAGCTTAGTATGAAGAACCACTAAGATGCTACTGCTAGTCTCCAGCTTGCTGACTATTAAGGTTCAAAACATCTCCAGCCTATGAAAAGCCGAGACATGAAGAGACAGAAATAGAGAACGGAGCGGAAAACGAAGGGGGGGGGGGGGGGGG